GGTTTGAATAGGTCAGGCTGAAGCCACTGTAGTGACATCTTATCCTCTCCTTCATTAGCAAGTGGATTCTGCCCTTTGCTCTTATTAGACAATAACCTGAAAGTGCACAGAAAACGACTTCTCAGATGGCTCCCATGTCAGAAGCTGTTTTCTTTCTGCCACAAAGTGGCCAGTTTCAAAGAGAGAGAGAGAGAGAGAGAGAGAGAGAGAGAGAGAGAGAGAGAGCACTCTCATCCTTAGCTTCCACAGACTTTGGGGTTCTAGGGGTGCCTCCTTGCCCTGATGAGACGTGGAATAAAAGTACTTCACACTCAACAAGATTTGTGATACTGCTAATCTCTTTCAGGATTGCATACGCGCTTGCGCAAGCACACACACATGCATACACCCACAAATGATGTGTGTATGTATTGATAGACATGTATATATGCATGCATACACACATATACATATGTATGTGTATGTATGTATGCATTCTGGACAGAATTTGATTTGCTCTTTTCCAAAGGCAACTGTAGCATGCATATGGTTAATATAGGTTATAGAATGTTAGAATTGGATGACATTAGAGGGCATTTGGGTCAACTCCTTCGTATGGTAAACCTTTGAAATGACTTGAGCTGTGACAAGACCCCAGGTCTCCTGACCCCTGGGTCTACTTTTTTCCCATCCATGATGCTACCTCACCTTTACATCTCTTCCTTCAGAATTATTTCTCGAAAGGACCTCTCTTCTAGAACGATGCAACATTCACAGGTCCTTCTGGATCACTCAGTAAAGCATTTATAAGCCCCTCCCATATGTAGGCACTCTGGATACAAATAGTAAAATGTAATTTTCTGCCCTGGGGGAGCTTACATTCCACCTAGGAAGGCAACATAGCTACTTGTTCATAGATAAAAAACATATAGAGTAAATACAAGGTAGTTTTTTTGAGGAGAAAGCTCTTACAGCCCAACCTTCTCTGCTGTGTGGTTTGGAATTAAAACATGCTTCATTCTTTAAACCTTGCTTTGCAGGGATAGCTATGACAGATCCCCTGAACATCTCACAGCCTGGTGGTAGCCTAGTACTTTGCTTCCTTCCATGTAGATCCAGGAACACTGGCCTTTTTGCTATTCCTTGAACATGACACACTTTCTTCTTTTTACAAACATGTGTAGTCAAGCAAGATAAATTTCCACATTAGCCATGTACCTCCCAAAATATATATATGTCCCACCCTACACTCTGAATCTATCACTTCTCTGTCAAGAAGGCAGGGTGACAAAAATTATCATGAGTCCTCTGGAATTGGGGTTCATTACACTGATAAGAGTTCCTGTGTCTTTCAGAGTTCTTTATTTTGATGATACGGTCATTGAATACATTATTCTCACCTCGTTTTGCCCGCTGCACTCTGCATCAGTTCATACAAGTCTTCCCAGATTTTGCTGAAACTATCCCCTTCGTGATTTCTAAGAGCACAGTAATATTCCATCACATTTTTATATCGTAGCTTGTTCAACCATTCTCCAGCTGATGGGTATCCCCTCACTTTCCAGTTCTTTGGCACTGTAAAAAGGGCTGCTATTACTGTTGTTGTACATTCTTAGATTTTATTTTGCTTTGTTGATTTTGACTAATCCCTCCTTTAACCTGCTCTCCTCACTCTCTTCTTTCCCTTCTCTCTTTCCCCTCCTGTTTCCCTATTGAGTAAAATGAATCTCTCTCTCTCTCTCTCTCTCCCCCCCTCCCCCTCCCTTCGTCCCTCTCTCTCTCTCTCTCTCTGTCTCCCTCCCTCCCTTCCTCCCTCTCTCT